GTTGCCACAGATTTGAAGACTTTGTAGTTGGTGGCTATCAGCTACTGTCCTTATAGAAGTTTCTCTTGAGGAAGATCTGAGCCACAGGGCTTCATGGCTATCACAATTCACCCCTTTTCCTCAGTAGACACTCTTCTCTTACAGGTTTGGGGGACAGCTGTTTCATGCTCCCTCAGGACTCTTCCTGGGTGAACCTTGTAAAGGAGAAGTTAGAATAATAAACTAAAGCCCTCATCACTCTATCATATAGAGGCTGCAAATGATACTCATTACCCACTACCCCTCCCTCCAGCCCCACCATTTGTTCCAAATTCACCTCACTGTCACCACCAGCTAACACCTCTGCTGGTCTCAGCAGCTTACCTGGTGGTGAGACTAATCCCTCCCATGAAAAGTTGGAACCCCTGGTAACCAAACTCTTCTTGGGCCATGGTTGCTGCATGGACTGTATTTCAAAATCACAAATGGACAAGGGAGTTTCAAAAGGGGTTCCACACATTTTTCTTTCTACGCCATCATGTGGCAGCAGCCCTGCCTCCTTCAGCTGATTGGATCAAAGAGCTGTCCACAATGGAGACTTGTGTTCTGGCTTGCTGGCCACTACAAAGGGAGTTCAAATTACCCAGGAGACAGATACAGCTCAATGGAACACTTCTTATGTCTTCTAGAAGGAGTGTGCCCTGCTTTAGAGAATAGGATCTCTAACCTGTAGAGCCCAGATTACAGGCCAGAAAATACAAATTCCCCATAATAACCACTGGATTATTGGTAGTGGGTGAACTTCATTTCTCGTGGCATATTTTTTCTTAATGGGAGATCTCTGTTGCATACATCACAGCTGTTGTACCAGTATTTGTAGAGGATTTGCATTCTCACACACTCTCATGTAACTTGCAATGCTTTCCTGTTGGGAGGAGAATCTATCCCTACCTCACTGACATCAAGTTTGGCCATAAGACTGGTTTTAGCCAATGGAGTGTGAATGATAAATTATCTGTCATGTCTGAGCAGAAGCTTTAAGAGACATTCTGTGGTTTTAGTGAGTCCTTCTCTCTCTGCTATAAGGACGTATCCCAGGAGAGGCTCGATCCTAGAATGAAGAAGATCTATACATGAGAGTCACAGCTAGTACACAGTCAACCCAATTAATGAGTGCAAGAAATAAACCTTTGTTGTTGTAAAGCACTAAGGATGAGGGATTGTTTATTACTGCAGGATAACTAACAAGATCTGGCTAATTGTATCTTTTTCTATCTGTGATATTTTACTGGTAGCCAGCAAGTCTCCTTTGTCCCACTTTCTGATATTTGTGTTTACTTGGCTGTTTCTAAATAACAGATGTCTGCTCATTAATGGCTCTAACTATTGTTCTTAATGTTTCTGCGAGGTCTCTGGATTGGCTACGTCAGAAATGTCTGGACACAGTTTTTAAAAACAGGACTTATTGATTACACCTACAGAGGTTCTGACTCAACAGATGTGATTCAGTAGTTGTCTTTAGTGTGGGTCCTGGAATCTGCATATTTTTTTTTTTAATTTATTTGACAGATCACGAGTAGGCAGAGAGGCAGGCAGAGAGAGAGGAGGAGGCAGGCTCCCTGCTGAGCAGAGAGCCCGATGCGGGACTTGATCCCAGGACCCTGAGATCATGACCCGAGCTGAAGGCAGAGGCTTTAACCACTGAGCCACCCAGGCGCCCCTGGAATCTGCATATTTTTAAAACTCCACATGTTCCTACAATAAATTCAGGAATTAGTTGTCTGCTATGTTCCACAATCTTCGGTTTGCTTTAGACTAATCATCTTCACTGGTGTCTTGAACTTAGATGTACCACAAACCTTTTATTGCTTACCCTTAACCTTGCCTTGAACAATGGTCTTTGCATCTTACTCACTTAGTCCCATTCCTTTACCCTGCATTTACAACAAGGTCAAATTAAACTGCAACTCAGACCTACTATTGTTTGAAGTATACATTAAATTTCCCTTTGGAAGAAATGTGTGTGTATCTGTGTGTGTGTGTGTATGTGTGTGTGTGTGTGTACGCATGCATGGACATATGTGGACAAAAGCATTCAGAGTTAGATGAAATTGTTTAATGCTGAAAAAATGTAATTTTGAAATGAAGCAGCAGAGCTAATTATCTGGCTGAAAAAAGGCACAGGCTCTATTTAGGTCAAAAGTAACAGAAAAATTGCTGATACAATTATTCCTAGTAACTGTCTCATAAACGCCTATGTGCATTAACACATGCATAAATCCTCTCACGTGGCTATGCTACTCGGAATGAGACGACTGTCTAAATAAATCCTTAAAGCACTTTTTGTTCAGTGATATGACAACAGAAATAAAGGAAACAATGAGGATGCAAAATGATTGAAGGTAAAGTTAAATGAAATCAAGTATCTATGAGAAAAATGAAGGTTATGATCATCACAAATCAAAGAGAAAACTTTCCATTCCATCACACCCATCCCCGTCCTCCACCACTCTTATTCTGTCTTAAATTCTTAATGATTTTTCCTAAACCATTCCATTTGAGTAAGCTTCATTTGGGTTTTGATGGATGTTCTTGAAGATAGCACAGAAAATAAAATATGTGGAAACACTGCCCAGGCTTAGGATGCTTACTATAATGATGTGGAAAGCTCCACCCAGGCAACCCTTTGATTTCATTCATGCTTCTGGATATCCATAGCTCAGGTTAGTGTACCCAGCTTCCTGTCATCTTTATTTCATCTTGCAAAGATGGCATATCCGGTGTCTGAATATCCACTCAAATTATTCAGAAAAAAAGAAATAAATATAAACAATGTTTTTGACTGAGTGGCAAGTTGTCATCCAAATTTAATGCCAGGATCAGTTTCAGGTTCTTGTTGAATCCTTTCTAGCTCTGTCTACCCTGGTCATATAATTTGCTAAGTCCTCGAATGAAGAGGGAAAACAAAACAAAACAAAACACACACACACACACACACACACACACACACACACAATAACTCATTTTACATTATTGTTCCTGCTGGAATGTAAAATTTGTGACACACATTATAATGCTATGAAAGAAACAATACAGAGAATTACAAAACCTTAGCTTGAATTTCATCATGTTACAAGGGCAGAGTCAGCCAAAATTAAGTTTAAAAAAAAAAAGTTTAAATAAACTTATGTCTGGAAAAGTAGATTCAACAGGCTTCCAAAATTTATATATTCAGGGCGATCTTTTTTTTTTTTTTTTTTTTAATGAGAATAGATCTTAAATGTTCTTCTTTTTCTTCTTTTTTTTTTAATCAACATACAATGTATTATTAGCCCCAGGAGTACAGGTCTGTGAATTGCCAGGTTTACACACTTCACAGCACTCATCATAGCACATACCCTCCCCAATGTCCATAACCCCACCACCCTCTCCCTGACACCCTCCCCTGACAACCCTCAGTTTGTTTTGTGAGATTAAGAGTCTCTTATGGTTTGTCTCCCTCCCGATCCCATCTTGTTTCATTTATTCTTTTCCTACCCCCCAAACCCCCACGTTGCCTCTCAACTTACTCATATCAGGGAGAGTATATGATAGTTGTCTTTATCTGATTGACTTATTTCGCTAAGCATAATACCCTCTAGTTCCATTCAGGGCGACTTTTTTATCATTTATTTCTGTATAAGAAAATCAGTGGAATGGGGCGCCTGGGTGGCTCAGTGGGTTAAAGCCTCTGCCTTCGGCTCAGGTCATGATCCCAGGGTCCTGGGATCGAGCCCCGCATCCGGCTCTCTGCTCAGCAGGGAGCCTGCTTCCTCCTCTCTCTCTCTGCCTGCCTCTCTGCCTACTTGTGATCTCTGTCAAATTAAAAAAAAAAAAAAGAAAAGAAAAAAAAAGAAAATCAATGGAATAATTTCTAACAATGTTTCTTTTTGTTTACTCTATTGATGAATGAACATAAATGGGGAAATTGGGAAAACTCTAAAAAAAAAACCTCTTTTTAAAAAAAATTCTCCTTGACATTCATATCCTTTTTCTTCCTAAAAAAGTCACCATTACTTAATAACATAGAGAAAAGCCCAAGAGTTATTTCCTTTATGATTGCTGAGCTTCAAACGAGAGAGATTTCTTACATTTCAAAACTTTTGTCCAGACTTTCCCACCTTCCCACTTAAGAAACTTGTATTTAAAAACTTTGCATATTCTATTTATGAGGTATTTAGATCTATCCCAGGATCGCTTGATACTTTAACTACACCTCTTTATTTACTATCATGCTAGTTAATTCCGTGAGGTTAGCTTATTAGTAGAACTAAGTTTCTAGTGTAACTGAAGGTTTCTGGAGAGCTAACAGAGGTTGGCAATTCCTTCCTCCCTTGCCGCATCCTCCCTTCCTGTCTCACTTCCTCCTGTCTCTCTCCTTTCGCTGTTTTTGGTAACGGTAAGCCTTCTGCTGTCTTTATTGTTGTTGTTGTTGTTGTTTTGTTTTTGTTCGTTTTGTTCTGTTTTGTTTGTTGTTTTGTTTTTTGCTTTGTTTTCTCACTATATTAACCAGGTGACATTAGGGTTAATTTTATGAGGTGGAGAATAGTGTCAGGTGCTGTCCACTTGACCTCAGTCATGTGTCAAAAGATAGTCCGTGAGTCATTGTCATGGACCTCTTGTTTGCCTTATAACTCCCCAACAAGATTTCCCTTAAAGAAAAGCAATTGAAGCTCCAATATGCTACTGCAGTATTTTCTTTTCCTTTAGAACACTATTTTGAGAGTATCTGGATGCCAGGATACTAGGACGGCTGGAAATGAGTGTGAGGATTTCTCGTTATAATCAGGTTATATCTGCTTTACCGTCATACTTAGTGCAAAAGCACAGAATGTTCTTGCGCCAAGGCGAATGTTGCTTCACCAGTCTAGAGTGAAAATGTGAGCTCTGCCCTAGGATAGAGAGGCTCGTGTGCATCCCTGTGACCTTGCGGGCGCCGGCTGACTTCACCTTCACGGACTTGGCTCTGCTTTGTTTTACAGCATAGGTGGCGAAGTGGGGCGGGGCCACGAAGGAAGTTACGCGGGCAAACATTTCCGCATGGGATTCATGACGATGCCTGCTCCTCAGGACAGACTTCCCCATCCCTGCTCCAGCGGCTTTTCCGTGAGGTCCCAGTCCCTGCACTCGGTCGGGGGCACAGACGACGACAGCAGCTGTGGCTCCCGCAGGCAGCCGCCGCCCAAGCCCAAGCGGGACCCCAGCACCAAGCTGAGCACGTCGTCGGAGACCGTCAACAGCACGGCGCCCGGCAAGAGCGGGAAGGTCCCCGAGCGACCCGAAGGTAACACGCGTGCCGCTCCCCGGGAGAGCGGCCTCACACGTGTTGGGTAACCATGCTCCTTCCCTCCTCCCGGGTCTCCCAATCCTGCCTCTGTCTCCCTGGAGCCCCAGGCAGGAGCGGTGCAGATGAGGAGGCCTTTTATGAAGATGTCAACAAAGGGCACCCAGAAAGATGTATTTATATTATCAGAAAGGGAAGGCAGTGTGTGTGTTTTCCTACCCCGTTAGAGCTGCAGATCATTAGGAAATTGGCCAAAAAAAAAAAAAAATCTAAATTTGATATTGTCTTGCTTTGATTAGGATCACTTGTATGCTTCTAGAAGCATGATGTGATTCGTAGGGGAACATGGTCAGGCAGAAGAATATACAGAAGGCAAATTGTAATCATTCTTAGAAATCACGATTTTGTACATTGTGGTGGAGTTCCTTCTGGCGAGTATGAATACACACACTGTCTATATATTTCAATGCCTACTTCACTCCCGATCTGTAAATTCTATCCATACCTCTGTTTTTCCTCAGCTATGAAATGTGCAAATCCCTCTCCTTCTCCTTGCTGGCCTGTGAGTATGAATTAGGTCAGGTTAATCAGAGATGTCACCAGCTCTTTAGTCTTCCTGGAATAAGGACGTTTCAGCTTTCCTGAGTTTGTCCCGAGAGTCCCTTGGAGGGAGGGCAGTCTCAAGTGTGCTTGCATACAAGCTCATACAGATTTTGTGGATTAGTTGTGGAAAGCACTTTGGGGTTGCCTGTGCTGCAGGGGACAAACCTTGAGAAAATGGCTCCTCTGCCAGGTCCGTTAGTTGTTCTCTCACACTGTCTGTCCCTGACATTCTCCACAGCAGGCTTCCCCAAGTCAGCATACCTCGTATCACAGTGGTTTGCAGCTGGGAGTGGAAGCCAAGGTGGTCCTTTCCTTAACTGGGAAGGTATCTTTGCCATGTGGGCTCCCGAGTCCTTCATAAAGGTTTCCTCATCTTCTAATCTAATCTTTCAACAGAAGCTCAAGCCTCGTCCATGAGATGGGGTGCCCATGAGGCATGTCACATCTCTTCCATCAACCTCATTTCTTCTATCCCCTGTATTGGTGCCCTGGTGCCTATTTAGCCAAAAACAGAAGCTTCAGTGCACACTGAGGAATACAAACACACGCTTGGAGGTGGCACTCATCCATGCATTCTACAAGGACAGTCTCCACTGAGGCTGTTTTTCCTACTATGCATACACGTAAAAACACGACCCTGTGCGTATACATGTGAGTACATGTGTGAATAATGTGTATGTGTGTGCCTACTTCCCAAACTGAAATCATGATGCATACAGTTTTGTGTTTTATTTTTCGTTTACTCTCTTGTGACTGTTTTCCATGGCATTCAATTTAAGAAACACCATTTTTAAGAAGGTAAGTATACATCATAGAGCTTTATTTAATCATTTTCTCCTTGATGAATACTTAGGTTGGTCCAGTTTTGCTCTCATGAATGAAACTGACATGCACGCATGTGTGCGCGTCTCTGTGTTTGCTGGTGCGACTCTTTTTGTTGTTCCTCCGCTGCCTTAAGAGTACATTGGAAGACCCCTTTCTCTCCTGATTCAAAATCACCAGCATGTCCTTCCACTGGTAACACATCGATGCTTGTAGAAATAAGTTAGGTGTTTCCTTTACTTGTTAATACACTAAAGGGCCCTAGAGATCTGCTTTTGTAAATTTGAAATGTTGTTCTTAGGTTTCCCCTGATGTTGTTACACGGCGTCTTTCATTTCTCCGTATTTTCTCTGATCTTATTTCCAGAAGTACTCCCTCTCCTACCTTTCTTGCCAAAAAACTACACAGCCAGTGATATTAGATTGTTTACAAAAGAAGTTTACTGATTTAGAACACCGGTGTCTATCAGATGTGGGCCTCAATGTAATCTAGAAATATTGAAGAATCAAGGGGAAATACAAGGACCTCCCAAAGTGGGAGGGAAAGATGAAACAGAGAAGGAAAGTAGCCTCGAAGGAATGTGTTATCAAGCACTGTAGTACAGCTGGAAACTTCTGGAAGCAGGATAAAAAATACCTCCAGAATAGCCTCTCTCGCACAAGGGGGACCTGGAGTCTTCCAAGTGAATGCATGCAGAATACAGGATGGTTGTCCCACAAAAGAAACATTTGAGTGGTGATTTAGTTGTCTTTTTTTTTTTTTTAAGATTTATTTATTTATTTATTTGACAGAGAGATCACAAGCAGGCAGAGAGAGAGGAGGAAGCAGGCTCCCCACCGAGCGGAGAGCCCGATGCAGGGCTCGATCCCAGGACCCTAAGATAATGACCCGAGCCGAAGGCAGCAGCTTAACCCACTGAGCCACCCAGGTGCCCCTGATCTGGTTGTCTTAAAAGCAGAGCTGATTACCATTCATTTGAGATGCCTTAGCTACCTAATTCCTGAGGGAGAACAGCTCTTAATTCTTTTAGATCCCCTCACCATCTGAAGATCTAGGGTTTCAAATAGCTACTTATCAAACAAAAGACAGTAGCTCTATTATCTTTATTTCTTTTGAGGACAGGAGAGGAGAGAGTGACTGAATTAGAGCTGCACAAAGACTTAAGTGAGGTGTGGAAAACTAGTTGATTGGCATGAGGCTTATTAAACATGAGGTCCAAGCTCAGCATCTCTTCTCAGAAAGAGTTCTAAGTATGGATTGAGATGTCTTCAGCTGTCTACTGAGTCTGGTCTACTGAGAATGGTCAGTAGACCAGATGGGCTACTAGGATCCAGTGCAGAAAAGGTCAATTTCTACAGTGATTCTTGATGTAAATTTCAGCTCTTCAGAACATTTAATAAAAAGGCAATAACAGGGGTGCCTAGGTGGCTAAGTCGGTTAAGTGGCTGCCTTCGGCTCAGGTCATGATCCCAGGGTCCTGAGATTAAGCCTCATGACAGGCTCCCTGCTCAGTAGGGAGCTTGCTTCTCTCCCTCTTCGTCTGTCTGCTGCTACCCCTGCTTATGTTCTCTGTCCAAAAAAATAAATAAAATCTTTATTTAAAAAAAGACAATTGCAAAATTGGATACATTCACATCTCTTCTACCAAGTTATGACTTCAATAACAAGAGAGAATCAGGACTCAGTTGAGAGATGGGGAAAAAATCTTGAGTCCAAATGCATGCATGTATATGTGTACACTCAAAGCCAAAAGCATATAAATATGTAGATTGTTCTTTTATGAATCCTCAGTTCTTTATAACTGGGAGTTAACTGAAGTTCATTACAGAGCATATGTTTTCTTTACAATTTTTCTAGCTATCAAAATTATAACAAAGATGAAAAGTGACTTCTATGAATCTTAGTCCGTCTTGTCTTTTTACATTAAATGTCAGCAAAATCAAAATATTGATTCAGTGGTATTAGAATGATTTCCATGGTAACTGGCTTCTATTTAAGTAGGGGATTATGACTTCCCTGTGCATAAAAGTAAAAAAGAACCGGACTTGTAGCAAAATAGCTTTTCAGAGTAGGAAAAAAAATAGCTCAACGATGAACACACCAAAAAGTACATACCAAGAATGTACAATTTAGTTTTTAAAAATTGTATTTCTATCACACTAGAGATGCATATTTATGACTCTATTTCAGGGTCTTCTACAATAGTAACACCTTTAAAAATTATACAGTAGAGAAGATATACTGGCAACAAGTATGTGATAAGTATTTTAATTGCTTTTTTTTTTTTTTTTTTTTGCCTCAGTGTGTTACCTACTTAGTTTGAGGAAAGACTAAATTAAATAAAGGGAATTAACTAGAAAGGATGAGAAGTCCTAACAGATAATGTCTCATGTATGACCCAGAGGAAGAAGGAGCTGTGCAAACTCGCATTCTTTACCCCTCACAGTTCAGGTAAATAGCTATCCTGTTCGTGACACGGTGTGGTGCAAGCAGTAGAACTTACAGGAACTTGACTTTGGACAAGTGACCCAATGAGGCTGTTTTGTTACCTTTCAATGAGTATGAAAAACTGAAAATTGATGGTGCCCTGCCTCCCTCACAGCCTTATGACAACACAGTGGGACAATACCCATGGTGATGCATGGTAGAAGGAAATTGCTATGCAATTATAAATCAATACTATTTTAAAGGTGTACTTACTGCCTATTAATAGGCTTGAATAACATAAAATTTGAGTCTGGTGCAACACATATGTTAAAAACAAGTAGGAGAAGGAAAAAAGCCTCTCTTTGACACACACACACTCTACAAGTCAGGCTTAAAATTTTTTACACAACAGAGTGAATACACAGGGAAGTATTCTCCAGGGGTAATAATCTTTTCATGGTATTATGACATTAGTATAATATTTAGTAAAATGAGGAAAATATGATTCTCTAAACATCAAGAACTTCTACACTTTAGAGTCCTTTAAAAAAACAACATGAAATATTATTTTTAAATTGAGGTATGACTGACATATAACATAGTAGTTTCACGTGTACAACATAATGATTCAATATTTGTGTATATTGCAAAATGACCAGCACAAGTAGTTAACATCTGTCACCACATATAGTTACAATTTTTTTCTTGTTTTGAGACCCTTTAAGATCTATTCCCTTAGCAGCTTTCAAGTATACAATACAATATTTTTAACTAAAGTCACAATTGTGTACATTGTATCCTAGGACTTGTTTATTTTATAACTGGAAGTTTGTGTCTTTTGACTCCTTTTAAATAACCCCTATCCCCCAAAACAATGTGTGCTTACCTTCCATTTGTTATGAATCTTTCTTTTGGGTCATTATATACATAATATATTATATATAATATATTATATATATATATATATATATATATATATATAATTTATTTGAGAGAGAGAGAGTGCATGATGGTGAGGGATGGGGAGGTGCAGAGGGAAAGGGAGAAAGCAGACCCCTCACTGAGCAGGGAACGTGGCACAGGGCTCTATCCCAGGACTCTGAGATCAGGACCTGAACCAAAGGCAGACGCTTAACCAACTGAACCCC